CAAGGGGGGGGGGGGAATGAAGGAAGGACTTACAGAATAAAAGAAACTTAAAAGACCTATCAACCACTCACAATGCGTGGACTTGGTCGGATCCTGGTTCCAAGCAGCAAAGTACAGGAGGAAAAAAAATAAAAATTAAGAGACAAATAGAAAACTGAACACTGGATGACATTAAGGAAATACATGAAATATTTTAAGTGTCATCATTATACTGTGGTTATGTTTTTAGAAGGTCCTTAATAAATTTTTTAAAGGAAGCAATTTGGTTTGCAAGAATAGTATTTTCTGTTTGTTTGTTTATTTATTATTAACCCTCACCCAAGGAAAATTTTTTTCATTGTTTTACAGAGAAGAGTGGAATGGAAGGAGGAGAGAGAGAAGCATCTATGTGATCGGTCGCTTTCCGCAGGATCCCTGACCAGGGCCGGGATCGAGCCTGCAACCGAGGTGGGTGCGCTGGGCCGGGATCGAACCCGGGCCCTTCAGTCGGCGGCCGGCGCTCTAACCACCGGGCGGCGCCCCCGGGCCCGACGGGGCCTGTTCCGGGGCCTTGGTGCCGGCTTCTTGCCCTGGGCCAGGGGGTTCCGGGGAGCCCTGAGGATTATCTCATCTGGGCACGGGCGGAGGGTGAAGTAGTCCCCCCAAAACAAGGGCTGGGCTGCGCACAAGGTGCCGCTTGAAATACAAGTTGTGATAGAGGACAGGTCTTCAAAGGTCAGATTTTAACTTAAAGCCTGAGAAAAGGAGCCCGTGAGGAGAGCGGTGAGTGTGTTGAACGATCAGAGAGCAACAGGTATAAGAAAACTGTTTGCTCTGGTTTCTAAGGCTGGAGATTCGGTGCCAAAGCAGCAGCCGCGCGCGCAGGAAATGGCCAAACCTGGATTTGGGCTGTTTGTTCACGAGGAAAGAAAAGAAAAGAACCGTGCGCGCTAAAGGAGAGCTAGGATATTGGAGATCTAGGAGCAGGGTCCTTCGCGTCGTCACAACCTACTTCTGTCATTTTCGCCTTTGTTTTTCTTTCCTCTCACAAACCCAAAGTGCCTTCGAGATGTAAGGCAAAGGCCCTGCGACAAAGGGGGAGGAAGACGGAACAGAGCCTCGGGGAAGCCTCCCCGCGCGTCCGAGCCTTCGCACAGAGCCCGCGCGTCGGCCTCGGGAGGACGCGCCGGGGCGCAGAGGCCGGATCGGGGTCACGGCGCCGACAGCGCCAAGGGCCCCCCTGAGGCCGGGACCCACCGGCCGCGCAGAGTCGGGAGGGGTGAAACCGATTCCGCGAGGCGGGCGGAGCGCTAAGGCCGCCTCTCCGGGAACCCAGCCGCCGCGCCGTCGGCCCTCCGCGTCCCGTTGGCCTGGCAACCGAGCGACGGTTCGCGAGTCGCGCTCAGAAGCGGCGGGACTCGGACGCTTCCCAGGCCACGCTCCGAATCCCGAACTCCTCCCCTCCTGAGGGGAGGGCCAAGGAAAAACATAAACCAATCAGAATGTAGAAGCGGAAGGCGTTTACTCTCGAGACCAATAGGAGGGCTGAGGGGCGTGGCCGAGGCCGCCGGTTGGTTCTTGTGATTTAAACCTCGGCGTCCGGCGGTTAGGGAGGCTTCCGTGCTTGAGTGGGCAGTGCGCCTGCGCAGGCTGCGCGACCCCAACCGACACCTGCGGGGCTGAGGGACTGCGCGGCGAGCGGACGTCGGCGGGGCCGGTAGGCGGGACGGATGGGAGCGGAGGAGTGGGGCCCCGAGGGCGGCGCCCCTGCTTGGGGGAGGTCGGGGCTGAGTACGCGGACTTGGTTTCGCGGCCTGGGTACCAGTGCCCTGCCGCGCAGTCCGGGGCCGGGACGAACCCACCGCCGGGGTACGCGACCCTGAGCGGCCGGAGCCCCCGAGGTCGCCACCGTGGCCCCGGCTTAGCGAGGTGACGCCGAGGGGACCGAAGGCCTCTCACTGTGCAGCCACACCTCCTGTGAACTGACGGGTGTAACCGTGCGAGAAGCTCTTTCCCCGCCGTGTTCAGGTAGAGGGTGAAATGCAGCCCCACAGCCCTACCCTGGAATGAAAGTGAACCCTTTTTTCCTGATGATAAAAATTACACCACCTCATTGTTTTTATAAGTAAATCAAGCAGTATTAAGTACGCGTGAAGAAGGGCAGTAAGTACCCGAAATTCCACCGTCCAAGAGAACCCTTTCCATTTGGGTCTACTGCGGAGGTATTCGCTGTGGGTATATACTTGCATGAGTATCCTTCTAAAACGTGTTTGATGAAATTGTACATTTTGAACATAATAAAGCACATCCACTTAAAAGGCAGGTCGTGCCTTAGCGGTATTTTAGGAATGCGCGTCCGTCAGATGGGGAGTGCGTTACTTTTAGTGCATGCGTGGTACCTCCTGCAGCGGCGGCGCCGCACCGTGTACCGTATATTCTCTAACCGGTCTCCCGATGATGGGCATTTGTTTTTCCAATTTCTTCATCATCATCGGATAGCACGGTACTGGTCCCTCGTACATATACTTGTCTGCATTCTTACCCAGTTTGTCTCCTTAGAATAATTCTTGGAACTGGGCGATGGCTTAGAAGTCACGGTACGATTTAAACTCTGCCCCCTGGAAAAATCGGTGCCCCCACCCCGCCCACTCACAGCCGGAGGGTGAGGCTGCCGGGGCCTCCGCACGCTGACCGGCACTGGGTAGTGGGGACTTTCTACCCATCTGGAAGGATGTCCTGATGTTTTTATTTGCATCACTAATGAGATTAAACNGTTCGTCCTGACTGCCCCCTGGAAAAATCGGTGCCCCCACCCCGCCCACTCACAGCCGGAGGGTGAGGCTGCCGGGGCCTCCGCACGCTGACCGGCACTGGGTAGTGGGGACTTTCTACCCATCTGGAAGGATGTCCTGATGTTTTTATTTGCATCACTAATGAGATTAAACATCGTTTTCTATGTTTATTTTTTGGTAAATCGCCTCCTGTCTTTTCCTTATTTTCTGGCGCGTGTACCTTTTTATTGGCTTTCTAAGAGGAATTTGAATTAGCGATTTTGAACCTGGTTCAGATATTTCCCCCAGTTTGTTGTCTCTTTCCATTGATCAGTTCTTTCTGAGTGTTTTTTGTTTTGCTTTGTCCTAATACTGTGGTTCTTTAAGCTGCATGTGTACATCCCCAGAGGCAGAGGAATTTAACTCTGCAGTAGCCTCCCAGTAATGGTTAGAATCTGAGTCCTGACCCAGCCTCCCCCTTCCACCCTCGACGTCCTGTCACTTGAAACTAGCTAAGCCTGGGATGCAAATCATTTAAGATTCTTGAAGAGAAGGCACTTTGGGGTATTTTGGTTACTATTGTCTGTAATTCTTGTCCTGGCCTATGCTTTCTCTGCTCGCCTGTGCTCAGTTGTAACAGGGGAGACTGGCAGGACATACAGCGACCTCCCTCTCCGTTTAGGAGGGCCGTCCTGAGCCTAGGGCTGGCCCTTAAAGGCAGAGAGGACAATTTAAGATGAATGTGTATATATATAGTAATTTTACAAAACATAAGGTGTTCTAGCCTCTGTATAAAAGTTTCCTCCTAAGACAAAGGATTATCAGGTCTTTATATTAGAAAGACAGTTACCTGTGGTGGACCTTACTGAAGTTTAGATTTTATTATTTGCAGACACCTGTCTTCATATGTTCAAAAAATAGGAGTGTGCTATAATTTGAATACAAATAAAGTAACATGCTAATCACTGTATAGCAGCACTTTTCAACCTGTATGCAGCAGCGCACTGGTGTGCCGCATGAATGTTTAAAACACTCATTACCTATTTATTTTTAATTTTATTTTTGTTTAAAATATTACAGATGTCCCTTTTTCTCCCCAATGACCTGTTCCACTCCGTCCCATCCCCCTCCCCACCTGACTATTTAGTCAGGGTCAGTGACCCCTTAGATTGTGAAATAATAAATGCCAGCAGCCAACACAGCAATAGCCGTCCAGTGTGAATGAATCAAAATTATGCGTTTTTTTGGTCACATCAGCAAAAAATGTATTTTTGGTGTGCTGCAGAATTTTAGTTGTTAGTTTATGTGCCATGGGATGAAAAGGGTTGAAAATGGCTGCTGTACAGTATAAAACACAAAAGAATCTCTGGCGTTAGTGTCGGGACTCCTCCTCGCCCAGAGTCCTATTCCACTTCTGTCCCTACTTTATTCTCTGCTCATCTTTTTAGTAGGTAGGTTTGTATTGCATGAACATTGCAGTGATGTGATACTTCTCACAAAGCTCCATTTTGTTTACATATATTTAGTGGTATATAAAATCTCACTGAAAGCTCAAAACCTATTGAAATAATTCCTGCCATTTTGTAATGAGGAAAGTGAGGCCTAAGCCCTACTTTACTTCTAACATTTATTTAGTCCCTACCATGGGTCAGAGACTTTGGAATTTATACGGACATTACCTCACATAACTGCAGTAATTCTGCAAAGTTTACAGTTTGGGACTTCTCACTTGTTTCTCCTATGATGATTGTCCTGAGTTGTTTTCTGTGGCAGCTACCCAAAATAATGTCACTAAAAGCTTATTCTAGATTTGATAGCATAACCTACTTAAACTGGAAATGATCTACTTAAGACCTAAGACCCTGATCCTCTACTCTTTGCTTCTACAAACTGTCCCACGCATGACATTTTAGTTTGTGCTTTTTGTGCCATGTATCATTTCTTTAGAGTTGATTTTTAAAAATAAGGAGTAATTTATTTTTTCTTTTTAAAAAATTTTATTGATTGATTTTAGAGAGAGAGAGGAAAGGGAGAGATAGACATTGATTTATTGTTTCACTTATTTATGCATTCATTAGTTGATTCTTGTATGTGCCCTGATAGGGGATTGAACCTACTACTTTGGCATATTAGGACGATGCTCTAACCAACTGAGCTACTGGGCCAGGGCTTTTTTCTTCTTCTTCCAGTTACAGTTGACGTTCAATATTATTTTATATGTTTCAGTTGTACATCATAGTGGTTAGACAATTATATAATTTGCAAAGTGATCCCCCTGATAATTCTAGTACCCACCTGGTACCATAGTTATTACAATGTTACGGACTATATTTCCTATACATCCCCTTGACTATTTTGTAGCTTCTTCATCCCTTCACCTTTTTTCACCCAGTCCCCCCACACCCTTCCCATCTTGCAACCCTTAGTTTGTTCTCTGCATCTGTGAATCTCTGTTTTGCTTGTTTATTTTTTTAGATTCTACATATAAGTGAAGTCATATGTTATTTTCTTTCTCCATTTGACTTATTTCACTTGCAAATGGTAAGATTTCATTCTTTTTTATGGCTGAATAATATTCCATTGTGTGTGTGTGTGTATACAAATCTAGTCTAGGCCATCAATTTCCTTGATTACGCCAACAGCCGCCTACTTGGTCCTACTGTCTTGCCCTCTTTCAGTCCACAGTGAACACAGAGCAATATTTGTGCTACACAATTCTGGCCTTTAATTTTTTTTTTCCAGAGGTGCCTCAAAATAAAAACCTAAGCATTTTTAGAAGGTCTACAAGGCTCTACAGACATGACCCTTGCTTACCTTTCTAAACTAGGCAAATGTGATCATCTTTAACTCTTTATACAATCTGCATCTCTGCCTTAGACACACTAAAGCTCTGCTTTGTCTCCACTTCAACTGGCTCCCAATTGTTCTACAAGATTTAGCTTGGATCTCTCTATAAGAGCTTTCCTTAAACCACTAGCCAGGGTTGGTAAACTGCACGGCCAGTTGGCTAACAATGTTTTCTGCATGTGTAAAAGGTTGGAAAAAGAAAGAATATACAGCAGAGACTATTTGTGGCTCACACAGCACTACACTGATAAGCTTCGTGAGAGATGCTGTGCCTCATTCAGTTAGTTTGCTGTCAGGTAGGACTGTGCCTGGCACTGCACCAATTTATCAGATAGTTAACTGACTAAATTTAATTTTTTAATTTGTCCTAGAAAACAAAACACCTGATCAGGCATGCTCTTTATGAAAATTCAGATGGGTAGTGAATATCTCGTTTGCTTTTAAAAAGGACAGCACAACAAATCAGACATTGCTGGATTGGGCTTTAATAAATTTGAACGTGAGGCACAGGTCTCCAGGTATATATAAATACATCTCCATTTTACATTTGCTTTTTGCTTCTTTTTGCTTTTGGACAGGAATGAGAGAATGTTTGATCTTCTGTTCAAGCAAGAACTTCCTTAAATGGGGCCTGTGATCTTTTTGGTTTTCTGTTTTTTTAAGAGCTGATCATTGACTTCTAGGACGTACTGCAGTAAATATTGTATTCCCTTTCTGCCCACCTACCATTTGCTAGTTGTTGCCTCCTAGATCCTGGTGAGTTTTCTGTGGTTAAATGATGCTTTTAATTTCTGTATCAACACAGACTCTCTTTGTTGGTTTCTCTAAAATAGTATTTTCTTCCTCTAGTGTGTCAAAACATTCCCTTTTGGCTTTCATTTCTGTCTCATTGAATAAACGTGGGTACTCGATGCGTCCCCTACGTACACAGTGCTGGATCCGGGATTCCAATCCTTGGCATTTAGGACGATCCATTAGGGGCTTATATGTGCGCATTTTCACTCCTTCTACAAAGGCACTGGTCTGCTTTATGATAGAGGGCTTAACATTTCTCCATTCTATCACTTCATCCGTCTTTGTTCCTATAATATGTACAATCAATCATTACATGGATATTTCACCACAACAGAATCACCTCCAAACTTTATATAAATCTACCTCCCCCATAACCTGTATAACTTTGGTTCTGGTAAATAATATTACCCATGGATTTCCCTGTCATACCTGTCCCACAGGGTACTGCCACAGAGTCGAGTCCTTGCAGCATACTATACAACATGTGAGTCTTAACAGCTTGATTAGCCCATTGTTGTTGTAGGTGGGTAATATTGAACTCCTGAACCTCCCGGTCATAGAGCCACTTGATATTTTCAAACTTACAGTCATACAAGACTAGAGGAAATTCTACAGCCATACTAGGGAGAGAGAGAGAGAGAGAGAGAACAGAGTATGAGAATACATAGTAGCCATTCAACAATTCTTGAAAAACAGGGTTAATTGGGTTAAAAGGAAGGAAATAACTTTATGTCACTTTTAAGTATCTAATAGTTAAAAAATACAACACTATCCCTAACCTTGCACATTATAACTAAAAAAACCCCCCAAAAAACACAAAAAACAAACTGTGGGGCAACTGGTTAGCCCTAATCTATATTGGGGTAAATTTTAGTGGTAACAAGTCACCTAGAAGGAAGTTCATTTGGCTCCACCATATGCCTATAAAATAAAAAACAGCTGGTGTTTTTCCAAATTTGTCAATATTGTATAGTATAAAGTAAAAACTTACTCATAGAGTTCACTGTGTAGGAATGAATTATTGGTCTATCTGATCTCATCCTGCTCCTAAAAGGAAAGTTGACTTTTTCCTACCTTTCCTTCCATTTCAGAAACTGAAAATTAGGACAAATTCTGAAGTATAGCAGTACGACTACTCCATAATACAAAGCAAGCAAGATTTAATATGAATAGTCTGAATGCTCACTGTTTAGCAGAACCTAACAATACCTCTTAGCATAAATTCAATGGGGAAAACATGTAGAAATGAATGTGCTTTTATTTAAGGGGCCTGGACCAAACGCCTATTTCTTACGACTGGGATAGAAATGTAATAAGCAAATTCAGAGATACCACTCCCTCCTACATGTTCATAACATTCTACAAGTTACACTAAAAGCTGCATGAAGAAAGGTTCAGTGACTTCGTTACTTAGACAGTTGTGGGGAGAGAAAGATATATTAGAATATATTTTAAAATAATCTGTGAGCAATAGCTGGTTTTTGTTTTTTAAATTACCTGTATTGAGGTTTCTGGGGATTTTTCTCTATGTTTAGCAGCTCATCGATAATCTCTGGCTTCTCCATTCCTTGGCCAATCAGAAAAAGGACAGCCATCATACAGCGGACTTGATGATAAAGGAATGCCTGGCCGGTCACTTCAAACTGACATAACTGGAAAGGTTCTTGCCATCTCTCCTCAGCCGGGCTCTGGCCCACCAGCTGTACTTGAGCAGACAAAATAGTCCTCTGAAAATTAATCACTCCGTTGGCAACATCCATTTTACATAAGTTCCTAAAATCATGTGTGCCGACATACTTCTGAGCTGCGCAGTTCATGGTTACGATGTCTAAATCAGCACGAGGGAAAAAATAGCGGTAAGTCCGCTCCAGACAGCTGAACCTAGCACTGAAGCTGGGCTCCACAGGGGCCCAGGCCAACACGCGGATATCTGGAGGGAGCACCCGATTGAGAATGTGAGTGTAACGGATCTCTTTAGCAGCATCGCTGACTTCATCTTTTAAATTAACATCCTCTGAATCCCTGCCCTTTGGAAAGTGAGAACGAAGGTCAAGAGAAATCACCTGTGGAATTAGAGAAAGATGATGTGTTAGAGATATAAATAATATGAACCCTCAGTATGTACACCTAGACTATATTGGTTTTGCTTGCTTTGAGGAACAGTTTAGTGGCTCTTACCTGTCCAAAGGCACTAACTCCTTTGTCTGTTCGCCCACACCGGTGATAGTTGGATGTCTGTCTGCTTTCTACTAGTCGAGTCTTGGTTAGAGCCTCAAACAGTTTCTCCTCAATTGTATTGTTTGTGTTTTCCTGACTGGCAAAGCCCTGATACCCCCAGCCCAGATAGGCTATCTTTAGGGCTACATGTCTTCGACCATGAGCACTGAAATCAAATGCACGCTTAGCTTTTCCAGCCCCTGAAGAATCTTCTCTAGCATGTGAGTCCTTGGTGTGGGCCTGTTCTTTTTTAAGTCTTTGTACCTCCTGCTCCAGTTCTTGTACTCTTTTTAGGAGTTTGTCAGTCTGGATTCTGTCTATGTCATTTTCAGCCATGATAAGACAACTTCAGGAATAAATGAATCATAAGGTTCCACTACCTGAAAAGAGTAAAAGGAGATAACAATTTCAGTGCTTATTCTGTTGGTCATGTCAGTAGCTTTCCATTATGTTCAAACAGTATCTAAGATTTATTTTAATGCCTTAAGCAGACTAGCTTCTGCCCTGGCATACAAGCATTAGCTTAATTGTTACAGGTTAACCATCCAGATACTATTTTCCATCCCATATGGCCAGTTCATTGGGGGGGGAGGGGGAGTCATAAAAATATTCAGCTAGCATTGTTAAGGTTTAAATAGCATTTAGGGAAAACGACTGTAGATTTTGTATCTTTCTTGTTCATTAGCTGAGATTATTAAGGACTGATGTTAATGATATTTTTCCCCTAAAGCATTTCCTCTTGACTTCTCATTACATTTGTTCAATCTTTCTAATCAAGATCTGTTGATAAGGCCCTGGCTAGTGTGGCTCAGTTGGTTGGAACATCGTCCTATACACTAAAAATGTAACAGATTCAATTCCCCATCAGGGTGCATACCCAGGTTGGGGGTTCGATCCCTGATCTGGGCGCGTCTGGGAGGCAAATTTCTCTCTTGTATTGATGTTTTTTCTCTCTCTAAAAATGAATTTTTAAAAATTAAAATCTGTTGTAATATGTACAACTACTGTGTCTATTGCTTTCTAGTATCTCAGATAAAATTAGTGGCTTGTATGTTCTATCACCTAATATTTAGTTTGTCTTAAAGGTGGTACAATAGAAGCTATCCTGATTGAAGAAATTTATCAATGATTGTACTGTATATTGGAAGTAGAACCTGGAGTCAAGATTTTCCCACCTTAAGCAATTTTGATGGCAGAAAGGTAATTAAGCATCGTGATCCTTTTTAAAATTAAAATTTAATGCACGTTCTGAAAAAATATCTCTTCCTCTAGCAGTTAGAAGAATTAGTTTGGATAATGTAATTTAGATGTCAGTGTTGAAATTCCTGGAGTATTTCAATAACCTGAGGACAGCTGTACTACATCCTTAAAGATGGTACTAGACACTTATGATTGATGGTTACTTTAGTAGTAGAAAATCATCTCCACATCTCTTCTAAGGCTGACTATGTTATGTAAGTCTAGGTAGCTCATTTAGTATTTTGCCTTTTGAGTTTCTGTCTATGCTAGATTAAAAGTTTAAATTTAAAACATGAAACTGTAAAAGTACTAGAAGAAAACATGAAATAACTTCCTTAAAATCTTGGGGTGGGTAAGGCATTTTCAAAGTAAAACACTGCAGAAGCCTAGAAACCATAGAAAACCAAAACTGTGACTACCTAAAAATAAGTTTCTGCCAGCAAAAAATAAAGTCAAAATAAAAAACTAATGATGGGGCCCGGCCGGGTGTGGCTCAGAGGTTGAGCATCAACCCAGGATCCAGGAGATCGCGGTTCAATTCCAGGTCAGGGCACATGCCCAAGTTGCGGGCCTGATCCCCAGTCGGGGGCGTGCACGAGGCAGCCGGTCAATGACGACTCTCTGATCATTGATGTGTGTCTCTCTCTCTCTCTCTCTCTCTCTCTCTCTCTCTCTCTCTCTCCTCCTCCCCCTCCCTCCCTCTGTCTGAAATCAATAAAGATATATCTTTAAAAAAAAAAAATTAATGATGGTAAAAAGCTACATAACTTCCTTAATATCTAAGTATTTCATGAATATATAGATCAGTTTTAATATATCAAGAAAAAGTCCAACAACCTGAGAGGTAAGTGGGAAAAGAACAAGCATTTTATACAAAGAAGAGAAGGAAAAAGCTTATAAATGTATGAAAAGATGCTCAGTTTTATTCAGTTTAAATAAACACCAATTTTTATGAGAACTTTTTTTTTAAACCAAACTAACTGCAAAGACTAGGAAGTTTGATAGTACACCACTTTGGAAGAGGGATGGAGAAACAGGCTCTGTAACACATTATTAGTACAACATTATTTTTTTTTTAATGTATCTTTATTGATTTCAGAGAGAGGAAGGGAGAGGGAGAGAGAGAGATAGAAACATCAATGATGAGAGTCATTGATTGGCTGCCTCCTGCATGCCCCCGACGGGATGAGACCCGTAACCCTGTGCCCTGACCGGGAATCAAACCGAGATCTCCTGGACCCTAGGTTGATGCTCAACCGCTGAGCCACGCCCGGCTGGGCAGTACAACTTTTTTAGAGGGCATTTGGTAACAGCTATCAAAATTGAGCGCACACATACCTTTTGACCCACCTATCCCACTTCTGGAAATTTAACATACACATACACTTGCACCAATATGTAAAAATTTATAAGATACTCATTGTAGCATTCATTTTTTTAACAGAAAACTAAGCCTAAAATCAATCATGGACTAGCTGAAAAATTACAGTACATCCATACATTGGAATTCTGTGCAACATATTAGCTGTGAAACCTTGGGCTAAGCTGTTTCATCTCTGTATGACTCATGTTACTCATCTGTGAAAAGATAATCAGAGTACCTATTCCACAGTGTGAGGATTACACGAATTAATGAATGTAAAGCACATAGAACGATGCTGGATACATGAAGTGTCCCTCTCAAGCACAAGTTACATACGTACATTAAGCATTATGCCCATATCATGTAGTGTCAAGCTTTTCTTATGCCAGAACTCACCCATCCTGCCTAGGAGCTACTAAAGGTGGCAAGAACTGCCAGGCAGTAGAATGTGGGAGTGAATAAGCAGAGAGTGGGAATCAAAGCAGGATTCCCCAGAACTGGGTTAATGCGCCTCCAGACTGTTCCTATACTACCCTGTACTAATCTAGAATTTATGTAACTATTGTAGTTACGATTGCCTTAGCCATTCTTTCTTCATTTCACTGCTATAAAAGAATAGACAAGAAGTGAGTGAACAATTTATGAGCTGGAAATTTATCATTAGAAAACTGATCAGTGTTTTCTCTTGTAGAAGGTCCTACAGTGTAAAGGAAGCAATGGAAGAACTCATGGGACCTAGTGGACAAAATTGGGCTAATATGGATGCAGAAGAACAAATGTTGGCGGCTGCTACAGCTTTCACCCAGATCTGTGCAGGGCGGGGTGAGGGAGATGTCAGGAGAGAAGCCCAGTCGACCCAATATGATCCCTACAGCAAAGCTTCAATAAACCCAGGAAAGCGACGTGCTCTTCCTGTGCAACTGCAGTACCCACATGCAAAAAGTAATGTCACTTCAGACACAGTCTCAGAGGCCTCCCAAAGACTCCGAAAGCCAGTGATGAAGAGAAAGGTGCTGCGCAGGAGGCCGGATGGGGAAGTGTTAGTGACAGATGAGTCAATTATCAGTGAATCAGAGTCTGGTGCAGAAAGTGATATGGATCTCTGGGACTTAAGACAGAGGTTGATGAGCCTTCAGTTCCAGAAAGACAGGGAGTCCCCTGTTGATATTTCAGAAAAACTTAATCTACCACATGAACATCAGCTCAACTGCTATCTACAAAGAGAAGGAATGGACCCTCCAGCTTATGAACAAGACCTGATTGTTGCCAGTCGACCCAAATCCTTTATTCTCCCAAGGCTGGACCAGTTAAGCCGAAACCGGGGCAAGATAGACAGGGTAGCCCGCTATTTTGAGTACAAACGAGACTGGGACTCAATGCGGTTACCTGGTGAAGATCACAGGAAGGAATTACGCTGGGGTGTCCGAGAGCAGATGCTCTGTCGAGCAGAACCCCAGCCCAAGCCTCAGCACATTTATGTTCCAAACAATTATCTAGTACCGACTGAAAAGAAAAGGTCTGCCCTCTGTTGGGGTATCCGTTGTGACCTTGCCAATGGGGTCATGCCCAGGAAGCTTCCCTTTCCTCTTTCTCCTTCTTAAGTCTTTTTTTTTTTTTTTTTAACCCGGGTCTCCTTTCACAAGACTGGGATAACCTGGTATTTTATAGCTTTCCTTTTATTTAAGTAGAAACAACTAATTTGAAGCTCATGGCACATTATAGAAGGACTTCACCCACCATTGGTTTTTCCTAGGTATATATCACACTGGTATCAGATGCCACTTAACTGCCAAATTACCATTCAAATCCAGCAATGCACGAGAAGTCATGTCAGAGGAAGGAAAACAGACCCGGCCTCTCTACTTGGCAGATCAGTAAGCAAAGTCAGCTAGCACTGTTTCTGTTCTGTACTCTTTACCTTTGGCCAATGTGAGTTGCTGTTTTTATTAGTGTGTTTTTAAAGTTGCTGGGTGTTAAGCTTATTCATTAAAGAATTTTGGAAATTTGTGGACTTGCCCTTATATACATACTTCCCAAAGAAAGATGATCTCAAACCTGAGTTGTGAGTCTCCTTCCAACTGTACTCATCACTCTCTCACCACCTAAATGAGAGCCAAAGGGAAGGGACAAAACCTGCCCTTTACACCCACAAACCTAAAGGAAAGAAGAAAGGTAACAACAGCATAGCTCTCCTGCATTAGAAAGTCTAGATAACTGTTAAATGCTTTTTAATAGATGCTCAACAGCATCACTATATGACAGGATTCTAGCCCAAGCTTTGTTGTGAAATTATTTAAATGTATTGCCCAAATTTTTAAATTTGCCCCTGATGTTGTCTTAGAAATTATGCCTGTCACTTGAAGGCTATTCTCACTGCAACAGAACCTCAAACTGCTAACACCTGGAACTAAATGCAGACATAAATACCAAAATGAATCTGGCCTATTTAGGTACAGACCAAAACACTAATTCTGCTCACCTTAAATTGGATCTCCTTGTTCTTGATGATTCTGATCTCATAAGGAACATCTACAAACCGAAGGCTGTCCGTTTTAACATATGAAGACAGAGACTGATAGCAGAAATAGTTTGCTCATTCAAAGAAAAACAGCTGTGACAAAAATGAATAACCTTGACCCATCTGCTAAAATACATCTCCATAATACTTAAGCTACATCATTCATTCACCCAGTTCCAGGGCTAGGCATTTATCAGGAAAATAATCAGTGACTCAGACATGTGTACGATATATTAGCTGCAAGTAAGTAAAAACTGCAAAGTATGCAATAGTGAGGTAATTAAATAGAACGTCAGTCATTGGGAATCATGGGAAGCTAATGGAAAGTGTAAATTAAGTGAAACAAGTATGTTACAAACTGCAGTAGGATCTCAGTCCTACACCCATACATGCACCACGAAGGCAAAGCACAAAGATAGATCAAAACCTAACACTGGGTGGTGGGATTAAAGGTAGTTTTTCTTTTCTTTAAATCTATGTTTTTTAAAAGTTAAAAGCCACATGGCATTTTTACATGCAAATTACAGCAAAACGCTCCAGTGATTTACCTCCTTTATATGTATGTCAAAGCCCAACATTACCAAATAAAGTTTTCAAAGTGATTATGTAGTTCAACCCTGTATTTACCCGAAGAACCAGTCCAAAGGGTTTGAGGCGTCGGTTAATAAAATTTATTGCAAAAGGAGGAGTGGAGCCCAAGACTCCTGAGTGAGTCAGTACAGTGCTTTCTCCAGCGCACCTAACCTTCTCAGGGTGAAGTAGTGGTTCCCAGGCAGACCTCTAACACCTGGAAGGGAACCGCCAAATTATCAGAGGGTGTTCATGCGTGTGCCAAGCATCTGTCAACACTAAAGCAGCCGTCACTAGTTTCAACACTTTTTAAAGTTAAAAAAGGTTTTTGCCCTGCCGGGCGTGGCTCAGCAGTTGAGCGCCGACCTAGGATCCAGGCGATCGCGGTTCGATTCCCGGTCAGGGCACATGCCCCGGTGGCGGGCTCCCCAGTCGGGGGCGTGCAGGAGGCAGGTGATCAATGACACTCATCATTGGTGTTTCTCTCTCTCTCGCTCCCTCTCCTTTCCTCTCTCTGAAATCACTACATATATCTATATATATATATCTATATAATATATAAAGGTTTTAGTCTCGAAAATATTAGTAATTAGTGGACTAGTAAAGTATTACCACGATAAATTGTATTCTAAACCAATGAGAGAAGGAGGGTAATATCCTCAGGGTCTGAAAACTCAAACCTATGATCACTAATACCCCCCCCAACGATCTGAAAAAATGTCTCCACGCCTTCCTCCCACTCCACAACCTACTGGGTTCCCGACCAGTACTCGTATTTTGTTTTACGAGCAAGCAATTCTCAACGAGGCAGCAGAGGCTTCCGTCCGCAGTCCAAGGGCCCTCTAAGAACCGAATTAAAGCCGCTCCTCCGTTCGCGAGTGTCCGCCGGGAGCTCCAAGAAGCCCTAGACACAAACAGGTCCCGCTGCCACGTACCGGCACCTTCCTGAAAGGGTCGGGCACAGAAGGGGGGCGAGGAAGAGAGAAACGTCCAACTCTCGGTCCATCCGTCCGTTCCTCTTGTAGAACCCATAAAACAACTCACCCCCAAAGCCCCACACTTACACTCCGATCGTCGGCCGGGAGGCTTTTCACGAGACAGGAAGCTGACGCTTTGCGTCTCCCGGGCACGCTCGGGGGCTCATGGGAGTTGTAGTCCAGCTCTGTGGGAAATGTAGTTCTAAGAGCGGGGGTGCAGGCTTGCTGTGGAAATCAGCCTAGTGTTTTCCAGTTGGCCACTGTTTCTCCACTAAGGCCTAGCGTAGTACAAGAATAAACAGATAAATTATAGCGCGCTAAAATAATGGATAAGTGACTATTCAGAGGTCTGCCACCCTTATACAAAACTAAAAGAATCTGGCTCAATTTTATACCTATTTAAATTCGTCGACAGTTACCATTGCGAGACAGAACAAAACAAAACATTTACTACTGCAACCCAGCCACGTGCAAGAGCTGAAAAGGATACGATAACCTCAGCACAAAGGATCGAGGAGCCAGCGAGCGACTGACGGGGCAGCCTGGCTTCAGCACCACGGAGAGAGTATAACTCGATCTTAGTTTTTTCCAGAGGCTGATCCAGATCTCAAGATTCCAGTTAGGGGAAAAAAAAAAAAAAAAAATCTGGTTCTTTCGTCCAAGCTGAGCAGTCAGCAGTAGAAGGAATCTGTCCAGGATCATGGAGTGCAGGTGGAGGTGGAGTGTGTACCACAAGCGCAGCTTTCTCGGGACTGCTTTAGCAAGGGGCAGGCACACATCGGGATCAATTAAAATAAGCCGGGGTCTGGGGGCATCACAGGCATTTAGGGACAGGGACGGGAGTCGGAGCCTGAACGACTTCCTCGCCACGCCCCTCGAGCTCGAATTCGTTTGTCGGATGAAATGCACCCATTTTGACCCTCCGCTTTCCTAGCGCCGCTTGTCACGGGGATGCGGAGATCTGGGGGGGAAGACGTGGGCTCGAGAGCTGGAAGCGGGGCGGGGGTCCAGCCCGACCACCCAGAGAATGACCCGGGGAGTGAGTGGTGGGGTAGGGGAGGCAGGACTCGAATCAGTACGAGGGTTGTTGCTGCCCAGAGTCGCCAGCCGCTGTCGCCTTACCGAGAGGTCAGCGGCGGGCAAGCGCCCCGCAACCGCAGCGCCCCCCGCGGCTCCCAGCACCCGGCGCGCTGCGGG